ACCCTGATGAAACATTATAGTCACAACTCAGATGAAACATTACAATCACAACCCTGATGAAACACTATAGTCATAACCCTGATGAAACATTATGATCACAACCCTGATGAAACATTATAGTCACAACCCTGATGAAACATTATAGTCACAACCCTGATGAAAGACTATAGTCACAACACTGATGAAACATTGCAATCACAACCCTGATGAAACATTATAGTCACAACTCAGATGAAACATTACAATCACAACCATGATGAAACATTATAATCACAACCCTGATGAAACACTATAGTCACAACACTGATGAAACATTATAGTCACAACCCTGATGAAACATTATAGTCACAACTCAGATGAAACATTACAATCACAACCCTAATGAAACATTACAATCACAACCCTGATGAAACACTATAGTCACAACTCTGATGAAACATTATGATCACAACCCTGATGAAACAGTATAGCCACATCCATGATGAAACACTATAGTCACAACCCTGAGCAAAAACTTTAGTCACAACCGTTATGAAACAGTATAGTCGCAGTCCTGATGAAACACTATACCCACAACCCTGATAAAACGTTTTATTCATAACTCTGAAGAAACAATATAGTCACAACACAACCCTGATGAAAAACTTTATTCACAACTCTGAAGAAACATCATAGCCACATCCCTGATAAAACAGTATAGTCGCAACCATGATAAACCACTTCCATCACAATTCTGAAGAAACAGTATAGCCACAACCCTGACGGTGGTAATTGTGACAAAAAGCGTCGCTTACTTCCATTTCTTTATTTACATAATTCTTTAGGAACTTGAATATGATATCCCATATTTTCAGATTTTCATATGCTCTCTCTAAAAATAAATCTTTAACAGCTTTTGATTAGTGTTTTTCATTATTTTACTTTTCAAACACTGATAAGCTGGATATAAATTCTAAACAATGTCATAATATATTTTTGTTGACATACGTCGTTTTGTTAGGATGATAAATATTTCGTTCTTTTATCAGCTTTTTAATTTACAAAATAGGGGTAGAACACGAGGCGAAAATAATTGAAACTATAAATAAATAAAAAGGTTTGTTGTATTGAATTTCGCGCAAAGCTACACGAGGGCTATCTGCGCTAGCCGTCTCTAATTTAGCAGTGTAAGACTAGGGGGAAGGCAGCTAGTCATCACCAACCGCCAACTCTTGGGCTACTCTTTTATCAACGTTGAAAGCTGTAATTTTCCGGTTTTTGTCTATTAACCCTGGACTCTAAGAAGATAATAACCGGGCTCGAGTTTCACTGCTTTACAAGTGGCCTAATGCTTAGCATGCTATAATTGTGGATCTGAGCCTTGTTGTCGCAAGCGTTCCACGCTTTGGAGTCATGAGCGTGTTACAAGTGTAACTGTCATATCTCACTGCTTGTTGGGTACTATTGACCAGCTGTCTTTCATTAAAAGTCTGTAAGTTTAAAATTAGGAACGGTTCATCCAGATAGTCATTCTGTAGCTTTGCGCAAGTATCCGAAACAAACCTAATCAAATTCAAAGGCTTAAAACTAATTGTATAACGAAATTGAACAAGGCTTTATGTTCAAACCTCGGAACACGGATCTCTGACCGAGGGCTCACGATAAAAATAAGAATCACAAGATTGGGTTCTTAATTCTTTGCTAGACTGACTTTAATAACCCTATTGCGGGTGGATTTTGTCGTAAACATCACAGATTGATATATTATGATTACAGATAAAGAAAACTCGTCTCTGCGAACGTTATCGAAACGTTAAAGTTGCAGTTCTGCATATAGCACTTGAAAGAAAATTGACTGTGGTCAGATGGGAGCGCATGCGCGAAAAACTTCGTTGTGTTGCACGAGCCTCTTTTCGCGCTCTATAATACACTGTAAGAAATGTCCGCATGGACAGATGGTTAGGGCGCTAGACTCGCAATCTGAGGGTCGTGGGTTCGAATCCACGTCACACCAAACATGCTCGCCCTTTCAGCCGTGGGGGCGTTATAATGTTACGGTCAATCCCACTATTGTTAGAAGCGTATAGAGGCGTATATTGAAAGCTGTATTTCTAGAGTTTGAAGTGTATATTGAAAGATGTATTTCTAGAGTTTGAAGTGTATATTGAAAGATGTATTTCTGGAGTTAGAAGCGTATATTGAAAGCTGTATTTCTGGAGTTTGAAGCGTATATTGAAAGCTGTATTTCTAGAGTTTGAAGTGAATATTAAACGCTGTATTTCTGGAGTTTGAAGTGAATATTAAACGCTGTATTTCTGGAGTTTGAAGTGAATATTAAACGCTGTATTTCTGGAGTTTGAAGTGTATATTAAACGCTGTATTTCTAGAGTTTGAAGCGTATATTGAAAGATGTATTTCTGGAGTTAGAAGCGTATATTGAAAGATGTATTTCTAGAGTTTGAAGCGTATATTGAAAGATGTATTTCTGGAGTTAGAAGCGTATATTGAAAGGTGTACTTCTGAATTGAAAGCTGTATTTCTGGAGTTAGAAGCGTATATCCAGAAATACATCTTTCAATATACGCTTCAAACTCTAGAAATACAGCGTTTAATATACACTTCAAACTCCAGAAATACAGCGTTTAATATACACTTCAAACTCTAAAAATACAGCTTTCAATATACACTTCAAACTCCAGAAATACAGCTTTCAATATACACTTCAAACTCCAGAAATACAGCTTTCAATATACGCTTCTAACTCCAGAAGTACAGCTTTCAATATACGCTTCTAACTCCAGAAGTACAACTTTCAATATACGCTTCTAACTCCAGAAATACATCTTTCAATATACGCTTCTAACTCCAGAAGTACAGCTTTCAATATACGCTTCTAACTCCAGAAGTACAGCTTTCAATATACACTTCAAACTCTAGAAATGTAGCGTTTAATATACACTTCAAACTCCAGAAATACAGCGTTTAATATTCACTTCAAACTCTAGAAATACAGCTTTCAATATACGCTTCAAACTCCAGAAATACAGCTTTCAATATACGCTTCTAACTCCAGAAATACAGCTTTCAATATACGCTTCTAACTCCAGAAATACAGCTTTCAATATACGCTTCTAACTCCAGA